TATTCAAGGAAAGAAGTTAAGAAAATAACTCACAACTTTAATAATCAACAAGCTTCAAGAGCAACATCAAGAATGGAAGTTTAGCTCCTCATTTGGAGACTAAACATAGCTAGAAAAATATAAAGAAATGATATTCTAAACTGAGCTTAAGAGTATGGAAGAAGGGATGATTTTATTGTGAAGGAAAGGGGTGCATTTATAGGTTTTTGGGAGCTGCAGGGGCTGATACCCGGCCGGGTATATAGGATACCCGATCGGGTATCTTAGGAAATTTCCCGGAAAGCCACATTTCTGGGCAAACCCGGTCGGGTATGTCGGTTTACCCGATCGGGTATGTGACAAATCTTTACGAAAATTTGCTCCCACGATCCTTTGTTCCCGGATTTGATTTGGATAACCGAATCAAGCAAATACCCGATCGGGTATTGCATATACCCGACCGGGTATAAGAGTAATTTTTCCAAATCGAAATCTTTCTTGTCTCCTTGCACTTTCCTTGATCTTTTGAGGTCCAATCTTGATCCCTTGGATGAGCTTTGACCTGTTTAGCTCAGAATAGTCCTAATCTAAACAAATTACAAATAATTATGAAAACAAAGTATTACACCAAAAATGTGTAATTTCCACAACTAGAACTAATAAAAACTAGTTAAAAATACAAACATACATGATAGGAAATTCACACCATCAGTCTCCGGGACCTGACAGAATGAATTCGAGTTTTTTTCGAACGCTATTGGGATGTGGTGGGTATGAATGTGTTTGATTTTTGTGTCAAATGTTTTGAACGGGGGAGTATACCTGGGAGGTTAATAAAATAAATTTAGTCCTGATTCTGAAAAAATCTAAACCTGATTGTATGGGGGATTGAAGACCGATTTGCCTTGTGTAATGTTGTTTATAAATTTTTTGCAAAGGTTCGGGCTTATAGGCTGAAGGGGTTTCTCGATGAGTTAGTGTGTGAAAATCAAAGTGCATTATATTGTGCCGGGAAAGACAATAGTGGATAATGTTGTTATTGCGTTTGAGACTCGCCCTTTTTTTTTGAAATAGAGGAGGAAGAGAAAAAAGGCTTTGTGGCGCATTGAAACTAAACATGAGCAAGACATGATCGAGTGGAATGGAGATTCTTATACAAGGTTATGGAGAAGATGGACTTTGATTTGAAATGGATTCAACTAATTATGGAATGTGTTTCATCGGTTTTTTATTTTATACCTTTTGACAATTCTTGTATAGATCCTATTGTACCGAATAGAGGACCGAGACAAGGAGACCCGTTATCACCGTACCTGTTTATTCTTGTTACAGAAGGAAGGGCTAAGCGCGCTAATTCGGAAGCAAGAAGCTGTAGACCGTTTAAGAGGAATGGTTGTGTCGAGATTAGCTCAAAAAATTACCCATTTATTATTTGCAGATGAAAGCTATTTATTTTTCAAGGCACGGGTGGAGGAGTGCCAAGTGGTGAAAGAAGTATTGGCACAGTATGAGACTAATTCGGGCAAATGATTAATTTTGATAAATCTAATGACTCTTTTAGTGCGAGTGTAGGAGCCAGTTCTCGAGATGTTCTATGCGATATTTTGGAAGTTAGTCAGGCAGAGTCCCAAGCGAATTATTTGGGTTTACTGGCTCTTATAGGAAGGAAGAAGAGAGAAATTTTGGCCTACCTGAAAGAAAGGATTTTAAAAAGGCTCCAAGGATGGAATAATAGATTCCTCTCAAAAGCGGGGAGAGAAATTTTAGCAAAGACGATGATTCAGGCAATGCCTACGAATGCAATGAACGTATTTCTACTTCCAGATGACTTGATCAATGAGATAGAGAGACTAATGAATGGCTATTGGTGGAGAGGAAATGACTTCTCGGGCAAAGGAATCATGTGGAGTAACTGGAAGGCGTTGTGTATGCCAAAGGAGTTTGGGGAATTGGGGTTTAGACGTTTAAAGGAGTTTAATATTGCTATGTTAGGCAAATTTAGGTGGAAATTATTGACTGAACCGAGATCAGTAGTTAGTAGGGTGCTGCAAGCTAAATACTATCCCGAGACTTCATTTAGGAGGCAAAGATGAGATATAATCCCTCTTTTATTTGGCGGAGTATATTAGCGGCCCAAAAAGTTGTCTTGAAGGGAACCAAGACAAGGGTGGGAAATGGGCATCAGATTTATGTATGGAAGGATGCTTGGATCTCGAGGGAGACTGCGAGAGTCCTCTCAGATAGGCCTGTAGGTATTTCATACATGAACCTGGCGGGCCTTTTAGATGAAAATGGAAAAGCGTGGAATGTCGAGCGGGTTAGCTCACTGTTTATAGAGGAAGAGGCAGCATCAATTTTGAGTATCGCAATTAGTTTGGGAGGGTTGGATGGCTGGTTGGAAATCTCATTTACCTCCGAAGTCAGTCTTTTTCTGGCAGCTTGGGTCTGGAGTATTACCATGCCAACAACTGATTTATTAAAACGTAGACATGTAAAAGTACAACCAGATTGCCCCTTATGTAGGGTGGAGGAAGAATCAGCCCACAATTTATTCTTTAAATATCCGGCCCATCATTTGTTGGAGGAAGAAATGGTAAGTTGTGTTTGTGTAAATGTTTTTCTACCTTAGCCGAGGATGACATTTGCAGGTTGATCACACTGCTATGGAGCATATGGAAGAGTAGGAACAAGGTTGTGTGGAGAGGGGACTCATTTTCAATAGAGGAGGTGCAGCGAGTGGGTATCAATGTACTCACAAGCCGGAGGGCGGTTCAAGAGCCGACCACCGACCACCATGTTGGCTGCCAGGGAAGTTATCAATGAAGAGATGAAATGGGAAAAACCGGAGGTAACTTACCTAAAAATGGACATGGGGTGGATTTGTAGGGAGGGTGACAGGGTGTTCATTCGAGCTAGAAGACGGGTTTTAAAGGACATTTTTACACCTATGGAAGTTGAAGCTTTGGGGGTTGAGGAAGCTATTCTATGGACTAAGAATAACATATGGAATAAAATTGTGATAGAAACTAATGCTACTTTGATTCCGTCCGGCTTAAAAAGGAGAGGCAAATTTGTCACAGGTGGGAGTGATCCTTGAAGATATCAAATTCTTGTTAAATGAAGACACAAATATTCTAATCCAATGGTGTAAAAGATCAGGGAATAAAGCGGTTTATGATCTTGCTAGAGCAGCTCTTTCTATGTCTGAATGTGTCTCTAATATAGATAGTTCTCCTGATGTTATTGTAAGTCAGTTGGCTAATGACTTGTTGAATTAAAGTTTGGAGATTTACCATAAAAACAAACTTACAAAATGAGTATAAAAAATGCAAAAGCTCATTTGTGTATATTCATTTATTTTGGGCTTTATACTTAGGGGGTGTTTGTAACTGATTGTGCTTCTGCTTCTTTTTTAAAGTAGAAGCAGAATCAGAATCATTTTTCAGGAGCTGGTCACCCCAGCTTCTAAAAAACTAATGTGAGAAGAAAGTTAGAGCACCAGAATCACTTCTGCACTTCCACCCAAACACTCCAACTTCTGTTTCTGCTCCCTCAAGGAGCAGAAGCAGTCTTAAGAATCAGATCCAAACACCCCATTATTTGAGTTTAACATAAAACTCATTTCTAATATGCTCAATATTCATTTGTGTATGTTAAATCCTTTTAAGCATATACTCATTTAAGTTTAATATAAACTCATTCGAGGTTCGTCAACAAAGAAGTATGAACTCAGTCTCTTAAATCATCGGTCAATGTGTTGTCTCTGTACTTCTTCTCACAACACCGGCCAACAAAGAAGATCTCCAAGAGGCGTTGTCTCTTGCGCAGCAGGTAGGGGAGAGCAAACCTGACCCTACCCGATTGACCCGATCGGATATATCCGATTTTTTTGTTGGGGTCGGAAAACCCAACCCGAAATACCCAAACCCGATCCGATTTTTGCAACCCAAGACTTAAGAGGGTAGCGGATAGGGTTACCAATTATGCTACCTGACTCGCCCGAAAAAACGAACTCGCATAATATATATACTACTTTAAATTATTATGCATGCTCAAATATCTCAACTATTATATGTCAATTACCATATTATGCATGTTCAAATATTCCAATTACCGTATTAGTACAACTATAACTTTGAATGTTGTATTGTTATGACTTTGAATGATATTTTGACCAATTATCATTTTATTTATCACAATATCAATTATGTCAATCACCGTATATTATTATTTTACATGTTCAAATATGTTGATTACCATATTTATACAACTATTACTTTGAATGATATACTAGTATAACTTTGAATAATATTTTTATCAATTATCATTTTATTTATCACAATTTCAACAATAATAAATTAAAATTCGAATGGACCCGAAACCCGAATCAACCCGACCGCAACCCGAATTTCTTCAACCCGAAAAAACCGATAATTTTTTTGATAGGGTAGGGTTTGAAATTATCAATCCGATACCCGAACGGGTTTATTATTTTTGAACCCGACCCGCCCGAACCCAACCCGTGCTCTGCCTTAGCAGCAGGAGGGTGCTCATGCTTGAGGAGAAGAGAGCAACGGCGAGGAACAATCTGTCTAGTGCGAAATCAGATCGAAGAAGTTAAGAGAGATCAAAGAAGCAGATGCAAAGTCCTGTATGAAGCAAGACCAGAGAAGTCTGGTGCGAAGTTAAAAGAGGCCTAAAAAAGGCCGGCCCTACCGTGCCAGCAAAGTACGGCCGACCGTAGGATATATTGTAAGATGGTTTTTTCTTTTTGGTGAACGGTAAACACGTGGTGCTTCGAGTCGTACACTTGCTTATAGATTACAACAATGTTTGATGTACCCACCTTTAGACACACCTTATACCCACCATGTTTGTGAACTTTTTTTTGTCTGTGAAGTCGATTCACGGATAATATTTTGTTTGTGCAAAATATTATATATGAATAGATATTCACAAACAAAAAACTTTGAAAAACATAAGTGTGTACCGAAAGCCAAGATGACGAAACAGCAAACACGCGGCTTTCGGTGGATTAACACGTGGTGCTTCGGGTTATAGATTTGCAAAGTCCGCTCTCTCAGATGACTCATTTCTGCTAAATTCAACGTCTACTGCAGCAGGAAGAATCCACGCGGGAAGGATTATCCGAGGGAAGGCCAGATCCATTCTTCATCATCGTCTTCATCCGTTTGATCATCACTGGTAGGCTGGCAGCTAAGAAGTGAGCTAAACACTCTAATGGAGAATTGCGTTTACAGAGACCCGAGAGCGCCTGTGGAGGCCCGGGTGAAGGACCTTCTCTCCCGCATGACCCTCCAGGAGAAGTTAGGTCAAATGACCCAAATCGAACGCTCCGTCGCCACCCCTTCCGCCCTCACAGACCTCTCAATCGGTAAATACGCGCTCTCACGCTCAATCCTCATCGCCCCAATTGCTTACACTTTATCATACCGCCTCAAATTTCACTCTTTGATTCTGGATCACTGTAGGAAGTGTATTAAGCCTGGGAGGGAGCTGGCCATTTGAGAACGCCGTGTCGGAGGATTGGGCGGAGATGATTGACGGGATGCAGAGACGGGCGTTGGAATCGAGGCTCGGCATTCCGCTGCTGTACGGGGTTGATGCCGTTCATGGAAACAACAATGTCTATGGTGCCACCATTTTCCCTCATAATATTGGCCTCGGAGCTACCAGGTTCCCAACATCAATACCAACATCTTCTCCCATTCTCCATTTCTATATGCACGCTTTGAACAACTCTGAGTTTGTTTATAAATTGCCTGCAAGTCCGCATCTTTCTGATAATTTAGAGTGTGTCAAATTTTGATGTGTCTGCAGAGACCAGGAGTTGGTTCGGAACATTGGGGTTGCCACAGCTCTTGAAGTCCGGGCCAGTGGCAGTCAGTATACCTTTGCTCCTAGCGTAGCCGTGAGTTTATCAATGTCCCAGACAAAGCCTAATTTAATGATCCGATTGAGTAATTATTCATTAATAATAATGATTATTATTATTGTTGCTGTTGTTATTATTATTGTTATCAGAGTTACTAGTACTCCACCCGTGCATTGAGCGGGACATAATTTTTAAATATTAAAAATATAAATAGGTAAATAGAATGAGTAAGTTCATAATTAAATAATAAAAATAGGTAAATAGACTTATGAAATTAAAAATAGAATGAGTAAGTTCATTTTTAAATATTAAAAATATAAATAGGTAAATAGACTTATGAATCCACATGTAAAATTAAATTATGAGTCAACACAAGAATGAGTAAGTTCATAATTAAATAATAAAAACAGAGAAAAGGGCAAATAAGCCCTCAAACTATTAGCGATTCTGCGATCAGATCCCGAACTGGAAGACCTTGCAAATACACACTCAACCCATTGAAATCATGCAATCAACCCTTTTTTCAATGGTTTGAGTGTATTTGCATGATCTTCCGGTTTAGGGGTATGATTGCAGAATCCTTAATAGTTCAAGGGCTTATTTGCTCCTTTTCTCTAATAAGCACATACTTTACAAATTATTGAAGGTCTCTTTATGACCATGTTTTTTTCGTTTTTTTGAGTTTCCTTTGTACTACTTATATACTGAACTTTAACAGAGATGTGTTGTCACTCTAGAAACTATAGCATACAATTTTTTACGCGTAAAAACAGAATGGCGCAAGGAAACACTCACGGTTTCCAACGATTTTCTTGACATTCGTCCGGATAAGAAACTGCTCATATACATTAGTTTTCAACACCACTTGAACCTCAATAGTGTGGGCTCCAAATTTTATGATTAAAAGTCGAGTACCGTTACACATTCCAGTTAAATATAGATTAAAGCATCTCCAATGCAAAAACAACAAATAGAATCTCTCTCTCCTTATTTGAACGATTTTATATATTTTTGGTAAATTTATCTCCACAGTGCCAGGTACAATGTCTAAACGTAGACATTGTGATTAACATTGTTAAAATTTTTTTACCAAAAACACATAAGACCGTGAAAAGGAGAGAGAAATGTCATAACTTAATTTTTTGTGTCTATCTCTCTCATGCCACATGTGCACCGTGCACATTGTAGCATTGAAGATGCTCTTATGATGCTTAATAATTTGGGTATGTAAATCATCTTTCTAAGGTTAATTACGACTCTTATCGATTTAAGTAAGAATTGAAACAGGAAACGTATACTATAAACTACATATTTATAGTTAAGATTTTTAATGATCATTATTGTACATAATTCCTATCCTTATCTATATATAATTATGACTCACATTTTTTAATTATAAATTCACGTTTCCTTATATTGTGCACAGTAATAATAGAAGATGGTATATATCTAGACTATATGTAATGAAAGAAAACATGGATTAGAGTGAGTAGATAAATTAGGAGACAAAGTAATTATATATATTGACTATATTTTATTAGGACTCGTCATGGTCAGAATGGTAGCTTTTAATTATATGCGTTAATTAAATGTTCTAGTAGCTTTTCCATGGCTTATGCGAATTTGGAAAACTAGTCATGGCCAGTATTTCTAGTTGGGAATGGTACCGAAATAGAGTCTGGGAAGATGGAAAGTGTAAGGGTTTGTTTGGAACCCCAAAATATTAGTTAAAGCAAACATGATGGGAAGAAAATGTGGGGGAATAAAAGATGGGTTCAAATTCAATAAACTTATTTTTAGATATTTGTTGATAATCGTTTTATTTATCTTATACGTAGTATCAATTATATAATGACTGAGAAATCAAAATATATTCTAAATTTAAAGTATAATCATATAGTTTTTGTTTGCATTTTCCGAGATAAAACCAAACATATGAAATAATGGAGCCAAGAGACTCAAGATATACGACCATTGGTTAAATTTCTTTGCTATTCTGTTTCTCTGACTATTTTGGGGTAAGTCATAAATGTTAAATTACTGCGTGCTTCTTTTCCCTACCCTCTCATTTAAATTTGAGATATGTACCTGGCTTTTCATTTCATGAGTTGAAACAGGTGTGTAAAGATCCCAGATGGGGAAGATGTTATGAGAGTTTCAGTGAAGACACTGATGTTGTTAGGAGGATGTCATCCATCGTTACTGGATTACAGGGACAACCACCATCTGGGCACCCATTTGGATATCCCTTTCTAGCAGGACGGTAGCCATAACCATCGCCCTATGAATCACCATGAAATGAATTATTTGTATCAATTTTATCGTTTTCCTCTCTTGTCATGACTTGTTGATTCCATCTTTTACTTTTAGTTTAATGTGTGATTATTACTCTTTGAATCATATTTATTTGTACATTAGATAGTTTAAACTTATATTAAGATAAACCAATAGAACAACAATTAATTCCAAAGTATTGTGAAGATTCCTTTTCATAGATTTATCGAATTTATTTTCATGAACTTCAAATGAACCTCAAAGTTCGTTTGGAACACAGGAAACACCAGTGAAAGAAAATAGTATGGAAAATAGACATGATAAATTAAAGTTAAGCTCAGACTCGATACATTTACTTATGATATTTGCTCAAACTCGTTTTTTAAATATTATTTAAAGATTAAGAAATCTAAAAATATACAATTTTTTAAATACATTTTTCACATTTCATTCCCCTTTTTTGTTTTCTTATGTAAAACCTGACATAATGAAATAGCTTCCTTCAAGTTTCCCCTGTTCCCTAGTATCTTCCGTGACCCCAAGCTTTCTGTGCACTCCATCTCCATGGATATTGAATCCCATGGATTTATCTTATTTCAACTAACTAATGTAATTTTACGGTAGGGACAATGTGATCGCCTGTGCTAAGCATTTCGTTGGAGATGGGGGCACTCATGAAGGTATCAATGAGGGGAATACCATATCATCATATGAGGAGTTGGAGAGTATTCATTTGGCTCCTTATCTTGACTGTCTTTCTCAGGGAGTTTGCACTATTATGGCATCCTACACCAGCTGGAATGGGACCCAAATGCACAGAAATAAATTTCTGCTTACAGATGTGTTGAAGGGAAAGCTGGGGTTCAAGGTATAAATAATGACCATTTCGATCTTTGTTACATGTTTGTGTGTTTAGTTAGGCAATTCTTTCATATGACTTGTGAAGTTGTGAGTGATAAACTACTCGCATTCACCAAGCATGAAGCATGTGCCCTTTCTTAGATAATGGTATGCCATATGGTGCACTTTTATACTCATCTGGTTGTTTGGTTGGAGGATTCTGGATGGGATGGAAGGGGAGGGGAGTTATTTTATTTTATAGATTTATTAGATGGTTGAAAATAAAGTGCACATAAAATACAGAAATATATTAATTCCAAAATAATTGCAAATCAAACAAGCCATGAGAGCGCATAGTAAAATTCATGTGATCTTGTTTGAGATCGCCTTGCCAGGGCTGATTGAAATATGGTCCTGTTACATCCGGGGATAAGAATATTTTCCGCAGTTCATTAATATTACCATTAATTATTTAATGGTAATGGCTTGTTGTGTTGGAAGATAGAGGTAAATTGTTTTGTTTTGCTTTATTTTTTGTTTTGTTTTGCTTTATTTTTTGTTTTGTTTTGTAGGGCTTCATCATAACTGATTGTGCAGCACTCGACAGACTCTCTAATCCTTTTGGATCAAATTATCGGCAGTGTGTTCTAGCAGCCATTAGTGCTGGAATTGATATGGTATCTTAATTTTATATTGAATTCCAACCTTGTATTTTCAAAAGTTAAGTAATTACCCTTTGAGGTTTTATTACTCTCTCAATTTTCTATTTCATCCATATATATCTCATTTGAATGTCAAATCTAATGATTTTCTTCAAATATTCAAACTTAAGATACCCCCTTATCCCACCGTAGGTGGGAGCCTTTGCGGCACTGGGGTAATGATGCGGCGGCACTGGGGTAATGATGATGATTCAAACTTAAGATATTCCTCCATCATTATAAGCTATGATAGTTGCTCGTTATTCATCTGCCTAAGAATGTCTTTGTGAGTAGCAGCAGCGGATGTATACTGAGCGGTATGATGAAGGAGAAGTGGTTTGCAATTACGAGAGCGCACTTTAGAGAACTTCTTTTAGATTTGACAATTAAATGGAGTCAAATAACATAAATATCAACAGAAGGGAGAAGTTGCGAGAGTAATAAAAGCTTAAAGAGAAACTAATTTATTTTTGAAAGCACAAGTTTAGACTAGTAATTACTCCGTATGACCTAACCAAAAAGTGCTAACAATAATTTTCCCTTTTCATTATCTATATTTTTTGAAGTGTCAAAAACAACTTAAGCATGTTAGGTTTTGTGAAACCAACAAAAAAAATTAAAGAATGGCTGGAATTAATGATCTCTGATAGTTGTACATATGTACCTGACTTAAAATAAAACATTGACCTTGGTGAAAGTGTGCAACATGATTTCTTCGGTAAACATGTTAGCTTTGGCGATTTCCGGTAGTTGTACCTTAACTAATGCTTTCGTAATCCAAACAGTACATTAATTAATTAAGTTACAGGTGATGGTACCCATGCGTTATGAACTGTATCTTAATGATCTAAGTGGGCTGGTTGAATCTGGGGAGATACCAATGTCAAGAATTGATGATGCCGTTGAACGGATTCTTAGGGTGAAGTTTGTAGCTGGACTTTTTGAGTACCCACTGAGCAATAGGTTACTGTTGGATAAAGTTGGTTGTAAAGTAAGCCTAGAACACATCCCTCTCCTTAATACAGTAACAGTAATTGACTTCTATATGTTGCTACTACTTAGCTGGTCCCGCGAGTTTGTGATTGAGAACCTGTGTTATTTACTTCTATCGGTTGAAAATTTTCCACTTCTGGACCCAACTCTTTTAGTTTCTTCTCACTTTTGTTCTCCTCCCCCCCACTTATGGTGCACAACTATGGATTCCTGGCCACCGTTTGGTCCTTTTGACCACTTTACCTGACAATTTTTTTACAATGCCCAGTTGATTTTTGGCAAACAAGTGTCAGGAAAGGACGGAAAGCTACAAGAAATCCATAGTTGTGTTAGAATCCTCCAGAAATCCCAGCAAATATCAAAGAGAAAGTATGGAAATAGTATCAAGAACTCCAGAATCTTTATTAACGGTAAAACAATATACTGGCCGAAGCCCCCAAAAGCCGCAGCTCCCAAAGAAAGAGATTATTAGTCTCAGTCTTCCCAAGTCCCAAGACAAGTCTAAAACAGCCTGCTCCCAATTTCTAACTGTAGTCTATTTATAGTAAGGAAGGCTAGCCCCCGGTAGTTATTAGCTCATAACAAACTAGACTAATAACAGACCCTATTTCTTTCTAAAATACACTTTATTAGAGTATTTATCTTCTTTTCTTCAGTTTAGTAAAGTCTCTATCAAATCTCCCCTCCTGAAAATCCAACTTGCCCTCAAGTTGGAAGGGTGGAATTTGTTGTCTGATGCCCTCAGGTTTCAATTCCATCTTCTGCTTCCTCTTCATCCTGATGCTTCGTCCTTCCCAATATCTCATTAATTTCTGATAGATGAGCTTCATTACTTGATCTTTCCAATTCACATATGTTACTGCAACATATATTGTCTCCGGTGAACTTTCATTCTCTTCAGTCTTCAGGTCTTCAATGGCTACAATTATTTTCATGCTTCCCTGAAGTATAACACTTACAACGGTAGCAGAATTTGTGTTTTTGTCTTGAACATCAGGATTCTCATCCTCTTTAATCTGCTCATCAAGAATTTTTGAACTACAAATTGCTTCCACTCCAGTTGACTTTCCTCCCATTGAATTATGATTGACAACCATGATGCTTTTCAGTAAAACAAGGCCACCCTCTGCCACACTTTGAGTACTCCCCATATCATTCCACCATACAACTTCCATAGAAATTCCCCACCAAAAACTCTCTGCAACTGTACATTTCTCAAAGGGAAAGTCCCTTTTCACCTTGTGCCTTGAAACAGATAGTGGGAGACCCCATGTTATTTTTAAAATGGCACAATCTTTGCTACTATGAAGCAACACATAAACCAAGCAACACTTTGCGGCTGAGAATACCAAGTCAGCTCCTGCATCAACAAGTACATCATCCCTACTTCTTTGGTTCCATCCTTCCTTGTCAGATGAAGGCAGTTCATATTTTTTAAAAGCACTCCAATCTTTGCAGCTATTCTTCAGGCTGGAGAAATCATGAAACATAGGATCTAAATTGATGTAGCCGCATCCTTTGAGAATTTTCCAAAAAGAAATTCTACGATCGGAAAAGAATAACCCTCCATTTCCCTCCGCAATCCTCTCCTTCCCTTGAGATATAGGATTTGACTTCCCAGTCTGGTATTTCTTGACTTGAATGTAGTCACCAATTGAATGGCTACGCTCAAGGGACAGCAGCATATTGGTTTCCAATTCTGAATTAACTACTTCGTACCTGGAAGTGTCATTACAAATGAGGAAACGAGTAATTGCTCCATCTTCCAGTCCAAAATTAACTGAAGATTTCTTCTTGCTTTCCTCTTTGCCATAAGTGTGTGTATCCTCCGTGGGCTGTAGTTGCTGATTGACCAACTTCTGCTGCGACTCTGGGGACTCACATAGAGATTGCGAACTAAGGTTTTCTACTTGAGTCGAAGCCAGAGGACCGGAAGAAATCTCTTGCGACTGAGACAAATCTCTTCGAATTTATACAGTGACGTACCGTCCTTGACCTTCCTCGCCGACGTTGTTTCAGCAGCTTGGGCTTCCCCTTCTCCATGTTTGAAGGCTTTTCTTTCTCCACTTTTTCGCTCTTCTTTATCTCCACTTTTTCGCTCTTCTTTTTCTCCATTTTTTCGCTCTTCTTTTTCTCCATTTTTTCGCGCTTCTCTTTCTCCACTTTTCCTCGCTCAACCTCTTCCGCGAGCTTCCCCAGTTTTCCGCGCGAATCCTCTCGCGAGTGCGAAACATCCTTATGCGACTTGGTGAGCGACTGAGATGGATGATTTCTAGGGTTCTCCGCTTGACGTGCGATGTTACCACTCTCTCCCTGATCGCAATTTCTTGCGTGTCCATGGTGCGCAGTACTTGATCTATGCGAATGGCTCCTCGAGATTCTGACCTTCAATTCTGCGATGCTAGCTTGCATCGCCGCTTGCGTCACGGCCATATTAGCAGCTATATTCACCATCCTAGCTTGCATTTCCCGCTGATTCCTCTCCACTTCAGTGAGTCGTCCCTCCATTTTCAGGCGTGGTTATCTCAGCGATCGACGGCTCTGATACCAATGTTAGAATCCTCCAGAAATCCCAGCAAATATCAAAGAGAAAGTATGGAAATAGTATCAAGAACTCCAGAATCTTTATTAACGGTAAAACAATATACTGGCCGAAGCCCCCAAAAGCCGAAGCTCCCAAAGAAAGAGATTATTAGTCTCAGTCTTCCCAAGTCCCAAGACAAGTCTAAAACAGCCTGCTCCCAATTTCTAACTGTAGTCTATTTATAGTAAGGAAGGCTAGCCCCCGGTAGTTATTAGCTCATAACAAACTAGACTAATAACAGACCCTATTTCTTTCTAAAATACACTTTATTAGAGTATTTATCTTCTTTTCTTCAGTTTAGTAAAGTCTCTATCAAGTTGTGCACCAAATCAGAAAAAAAGAAGTTGGGAACCAAAAGTGACATTAACCTAACAGTCATGGTTTGGTAATTTGAAAATTTTCATTTGCAGTTATACAGGCAACCTCCAGTTTTTCGTCTTGTAGTTACAGGGGATGTTATTATGAACACATTAGTTTTTTTTAAAATGTGGTTGACTAATTGTAGTAAACTTTGTGATACCTCATTGTACATGTCCAACCAGCACATCTGTTCCATATTAGAAAATTTTGGAAAACATCAAGCGCAACATGTGAACATTTTGACAGAGTGTATTTGTAATGATTGTTTCAGCTGCACCGGGAACTTGCACGTGAAGCAGTTCGCAAGTCTGTGGTTCTTCTAAAGAATGGGAAGGATACTCTAAAACCATTCCTTCCCTTGGACAAGAACGCCAAATGCATTCTTGTTGCCGGACAACATGCAGATGATCTTGGGTTCCAGTGTGGAGGGTGGACTAAAACTTGGGATGGGCGAAGTGGCAGAATCACTATTGGTAAGATAAATACATTGTGTCATAATGGTCCAAAAAAAGAAAACCTTTTTAGCCCCCTTTACCCGGGTCTCCCTTGCCCCCGACCCCCTTGGGGCAAAAAAAATGTAGGTGAAATACGTTTTGGAACATCCAGATAAGGAAGTGAGAAATTATTTTTGGGATAAAGGTAGCATATTTGATTTTTGTAAAATGCGTAACATTGACTTAACTATCTTGTTAGAAAATAGCAAGAAACATAGAAAGAAATAACAGTGAAGAAGATTTCATGAGATCGTTTATTCTAGGCACAACCATTCTGGATGCCATAAAAGCGGCTGTTGGAGAGGAAACAGAGTTGGTATATGAGCAAAACCCATCTCCAGCCACCTTTTCAAACCGAAGCTTCTCTTTTTCCATAGTAATCGTCGGGGAGCCTCCCTATTGTGAATCTGGCGGTGACAGCAAAGACCTAATCATTCCATCAAACGGTTCAGAATTGATAAGCTTTGTGGCTGAGAGAGTTCCCACGTTGGCTATTCTCATCTCCGGGAGGCCAATGTATGTAGAAACTAGGGTTTGGGAGAGAGTAGAAGGGTTTATAGCTGCTTGGCTGCCCGGCAGTGAAGGTGCGGGAGTGACCGATGTCATCTTTGGGGATCACGAGTTCAAAGGACGTCTACCTATGAGTTGGTTTAGAAGCGTTGATCAACTGCCTATGAATCCCACCAACACATCTTATGATCCTTTGTTCCCAATTGGGTTCGGGTTGACTACTAAGAACCATTTGGTGCTGTAGAAGTGCAGAGTGCGGAAGACATATATCTCTGTTTGGGGGTCTGGTTGGGCTTCCTAATGTATGAAGTTAAGAATTTATGAACCTCTTTAAGCTTTAGCTTTCATGGAGTAAGGTCCTGTTCAGTTGACCTTATTTGAGACTCAAGTGACATGTTCTTCCATTCTGTGTAACATTTACCCATTTGGTAGCATTTTGTAATGCTTTGTTCCCTTTGTAATTAAATTACAAGAAACATTCAATTCATGTCATACCTAAAAGATTCATAGCTAGCGTTCTGTTTGTCCTAATATTACTATCAATTCATTAGGAATGTTCGATTTACTCGTTTCAGTCCCAAAACATATCAATGGACAATGGAGTTCATCAAATGATAGTCATTGTTTCTAGAATAATAATCTTACGTAATAATATTATCTCTCTTATTATGATTTAAGATAAAAATTAAAATTACTACTTTCATTGAAACTATTACCATCATACAAAAACTAGACCCGAGTGGGCGGGTCCACTGGACCTAGGACCTAGACCGGTCCAATTGTCTGTCAACCGGCTAATACACATAAACCCGCAATTACCTGTAGCCCGTTGGTCAGCGATAGACCCGTAATCACTCAATCGGAAAAACTAGTAATAAAATAAAGAGAAACCAGTCGAAAATTAAATTGTGGTGTAGGAGGAGGTCGAACTCGTGTTGTGATTGGTTATTTAAGGGTAATGATAACAACACCATACAATGTTAAGGTAATTTGGACCAAATGACCAAGGTTCGAAACTCGCAGCGGTCGTGTAGAGGTCACAGAACCTGAAATAAGGCTGGGCCTCTGGTGCGCACGGGAAAAAAGCCTACCATCATTGGGTCGACTGAGTCATCGTGATTAACATCCTCCCAAAAATCCTGTCGGGTCGGGGTATGGGGGACTCCTGGGATGGGAGATTCCACCTTTTGGACCAAATACAATGTTAAGGTAAAACACTAACTTTTTCAGTATTGTATAATACATAATAAATACTTCGTATAAAATATATTATTGTTCTTAGCAATACACTAACTTTATGTATGCAAAATTTCAGTTTTTAAAATTTTGTAACAAGTATAACAATTTTCATTTTTGTGAAAAAAAGTGTGATATTTTTGTGTGTGGTATATTTAAATACTTATTCTGAAAAGACAATTGTGTCAATATCTTCCTTAGAGTACTAAGTGTCATAGCTAGCTGTGGTCTTTTTTCCGTCATTGCTTTAGTTACTGTACCATGTCTTATTAGATAGGTTTTTCCGTTATCTTTGACTCTATTCTGTTAATGATAATTAAATAGTGGAGTCGCACGTGGTCTACCCCAAACGCAACACATCTTAATGCATTTTAGATAATTAAAATTAGCAGGCACATGTATTTCACTATGAATTCCACTATATGCATTTTCCATTTACGTAAGGTGGATCTTCTTCTATATTTCTGGCAAGTGTATTACGAGTCGGTTGTAGCTTTGGGTTTCCGGTTTGCAGTGTGCTTCGTGTTCGTGTATTCCTGATTTGTGGAGTTGCTTTGACGGTATGTACTTTGTTCGATTTTCGATTTCCATGGATTTTCAAATTAAATCGTTGTGATAAATTTTTATACAGTGAGTTTTAAGAGTATGAATATTGAGTAGTCGGTTGAGTGCTATTTCTATGCAGTATTATTGTATTCTTCTTTATTCGCAAACTATACCGTATGACCGGTATACGGTGAGCACCGTATACCGGTATACAGACTTTTTATTTTTTATTCCTTTTCTTTTTTAAAAATGCTAATAACTTTTTTATTTTTGATCTGATTTTTATAAAATTTATATCAACATTTTTTATTTTTCATGATCTTTCAAATGAGATCAATATTGCTTATGTAATTTTAAGAAATTATCGAACTATTATATTAATGAGTATTGGATTATAAGGAAAATCGAACTAAATTTAATACAGAAAAATAATTGTGTAAATCACAATTTATCTTAAAATTGTGTGTATAAAAAATTTATTTTATTATGTATTTATACATGTGAGTTACATATTTTTATACGTAAAGTTACATATTTGTACACGTAAAGTTACATATTTATACACATGAGTTGCATTTGGCTTGCCTGAATGCGAGTTACATATTTTTACACGTAAAGTTACATATTTATACGCGCGAGTTACATATTTATACACACGAGTTGTATTTGACCTGTCTGAACGTGAGTTACATATTTTTACACGTAGAGTTACATATTTATACACATGAGTTGCATTTGGCCTGACTGGACGTGAGTTACATATTTCTACACATAAAATTACATATTTCTACACATTTGAAAGATCATGAAAAATAAAAAATTTTGATATAAATTTTATAAAAATCAGATCACAAATGAAAAAGTTATTATAGTTTTAAACAATAAGAGAAATAAATAAATAATAACCGTATGCCTAAAACCGTATGCCCGTATACGTTGTTCACCGTATACCGGTCATACGGTATAACAACTTTTCTTTATTAGTTGTCTACAAATTAACTGTCCGTAAGGTGTTTGTCAAATAGTCTAAGTCAATAAATAGTAGATGGAGATTGTATTCCTCTTTATTAGTTGTCTACAAAGTGTTTGTCAAATTGTCTCAAAGGAGAAATCTTTGATTTGAAATAATCTATGTATGTGATGATTAATAATATGCAATTAAGGATGTTCTTACACGGACCATTTTCAATTCCAATCCAGACCAGACTTAAGCATACCAGATTTAAAGTAAAAATTTTATTCTCTAAATATAAAGTAAGAAGTATATCACAGGAAAGAAATAGAGGTAGTAAAAGTGTTTCGGCCAAAACATATGTATGTGATGATTAATAATATGCAATTAGGGATGTTATCACATGGACGATTTCCAATTCCAACCCAGACCAGACTTAAGAGATCAGATTTAAAGTAAAAAATTTATTCTCTAAATTTAAAGTAAGAAGAATATAATTATGTTTTTTGAATTTTTTTTAAGACAATCATAGATAAAAAATAGTCAAAGTATATCACAGGAAAGGAATAGAGGTAGTAAAACATATGCATTGTGACACATTTTTTAGTGTTCTTTGGTTAGAAGTATTAAATATTTCTTGATTATTACAGGAGAATCTTTACGAAACAAGCAGTTTCAGAGGTAGCTTGGGGTAAGTGTTGTATACGTTTTGTTTCCTGTCTCTGATTATGTGTCAATGTGAGGTTTTTTTTGTCTTATTATGATTGTTGAGTATATTTAAATATGTTACATAGTTAAGGCTCTCCCCAAATGGAACTTGGAGAATCATTTTCCAAATCTTTTAGGCGCAAGACGAAGCGTGATAAAACAAACTTTAGGCGTAGGCTTCGATACCGTGAATTGCATCCACATAATTTGACTTCGTGTACTCGTAACATTGCGATTAATACCTCAGGTGAAATTTACGTTGTCGTGTCATTTGTTAAAATGTGGTCTTCGTATTGATTTAAGGATATTAACTTATTTTTTGTTGTCGCTTCATTACCCCGTCTTCGCTTCATATCGATGAATCTTTCTACGAAACCACACACTGAACCTGCTCTTGAGTTCTTCTTAAAACCCACATCATTGGACTCTGTCATATTTATTTCTTTTCTTTCTATTGATTGTGACAAATCTATTCTTAATATTTATGCATCCTTTTTTGACTCAAATCGTTGAATCCTTTCTATCTGAAAATACTCCTAAAATTCCATCGTCGTTATTGGGCTTCAACTATTCCCGTTGAATATAAGCAACCGTAGAGGATCTACCATTCCGGTTAAATATGATCAATGATTGCTTTTATTGTGGTGCGAAACGAATGCAATATGAGCCTCCAGGGTTTTGTTGTTCTTCTGGTGAGGTCGTTCTTGTCTCAAATGAGATGCCTATTAAGTTGAGAGAACTTTTTATAGGCAGGGGAAAGAGTGCCACACAATTCCGCTCTTGTGTTAGGACGTATAACAACACGTTTGCGTTCACATCTATAGGCATTTATAACTTTGACAAGGCACTGTGTCAGAGAAATAAAGGCATTTATACATTCAAGGTTCAGGGTCAGATCTATCATTTTATTAACGCCTTGTATCCTGATGGGTTACCACCCAAGAATTTGCAGCTCTATTTCTTTGACACGGATCATGTTGTTGAGAATACAGTCCAAATAATTGATCGAATGGATCCTCAAATTGTGTCATATTTGATGAAAATAGTTTCTTCTAATCCTTATGCACAGTTTTTTAAAAGTCTAGGGTATTTCTCACGCACGGATGATTTCAGTATTTTGTTACACTCTAATTGCTCTCAAGATCAGAGAGTTTACAATGCTCCCTTACAATGTTCGTGTTTATGCACATAGTGGAAGATCTCAAAGTATCCAGTATTATTACGGGTGTTACGATCCCTTACAATACCCTTTATTATTCGCGCACAGTGAGGTAGGTTGGCATGAGGGCATTGAGAGGGTTTTGCAACGTGGGCGTGTTAGATCTGGTTTGCAAAGTCATCTCTTGTCCTCGTGATTCTGAACTCACTTCTGTAGACAATATCATTGACGCAGAAGAGCAAGCATTCAGTGAGGGAAAGAAAAAAAGGACAGTTTCTTGTCGAGAATATTACGCTTACAAGTTTCAGATTCGTGATTCAGATCGCAGTTTTTACTGCATACTGGGAGGTTATTGCAACAATTTATTGTTGATATTTATGTGAAGATTGAAACTCAACGCTTGGATTATTTTAGGAAAAAACTAAGTGAAAGCCGTTCTGAATCATATCAAACGAACGAGCAGTCTGTTGGTCGACGGGTTATATAACATGTATCTTTTATTGGGGGACCTCGAGACACGCGAAGGAGATATATGGATGTGATGGCATTGGTTCAAAGATATGGTAAACCCGATATTTTCTTACAATAACTTGTAATCCTAACTGGCCAGAAATAAAAGACCTACTAATGTATGTTAGGGGTGAGATTTTGGAACCGGGAACCGTTAAATCGGTTGGAACATAACCGTTATAACCCGATTCGGTTCCTACAAATGAGATATTAGTTGTTAACGGTTCGGTTCCTAGTTGTTGTTAACGGTTCGGTTCCTGGTTCCTATAAAAAATATATGCACGGAACCGTTAAGGAACCGATATTAAAAATATAAAAATAAAAATAAAAGTAATAGTAGTAGTATTAGTAGTAATACTAATATAACAAAAATAAACACAACAACAACAATAATAATAATAAATGAATGATATTTAGCCAATAATTTTAATTTAGTTTAATCTATAAAAACAAAAATAATAAATATTTGCACATGAGGTTGAATACATTAAGCTAAACTATGTGTTAATTCTTACATGAAAAAAATTATTCTAGGAACCGATAAAAGCAAGAACCAAACCGTTTAGTATTGGTTCGGTTCCATATCGGTTCTTGATTTTTTATATAGGAACCGAACCGATTTCATTTGTTAAAATTTAAATAACGGTTCCACTATTTTTGAGTAAGAACTGAACCGGTCCCAGGCCTAATGTATGTGGATGAAGCACAAAACCGACCAGATCTTGTAGCAAGGGTCTTTCGTGCACGTTTGGAGGAACTCAAACATGATCTTATTCAAAAAAGAGTATTTTAGTGATGTTACATATGATCTTATACATATGTAATTGAATTTCAAAAGTGAGGCCTTCCACACACACACTTTCTTATTGTTTTGAGAAAAAAAACATCAACTATCACATCTCCATCTATGTGCGACAAATTTATATCTGCTGAAATACTAGATCGATGTAAGACACCCGCTTATATGAATTGGTCAAAAAACACATGATGCATGGTCCATGCGGCTCCATGAATATCAAATGTCCATGCATGATTAAAAAAAGGTCAACAATACGCTACATGTAAAAGCCAGTTTCCTAAACAATTCATTAACACAACTGAATTTGATTCTGGATCCTTTCCTTTGTATCGTCGTCGTGATGATTCAGTTAGTGTCAATGATAGGGGGTTTAATCTCGACAATAGGTGGGTTGTACCTTATAATCCAAATTTACTATTGAAGTTTGATTCCCACATTAATGTTGAATTATGTGCTAGCATTCAATCTATTATATATATATATATATATATATATATATATATATATATATATATATATATATATATAAAGGTCATGATAGGGTTAGCTTTGCACTTTCCGCTAATACTGAAGAAGTAGATGAAATAAAAGTGTTTCAGAACGCACGTTAGATTTCGCCACCTGAAGCTGCTTGGCGTGTTTTTGGGTTTACCATTGCTGAAATGAAACCATCTGTGATTCATCTGCAAGTTCACTTAGAAAATTTCCAATATGTTAACTTCTATGGCCACGAAAAAATCACTAGAATTTTGGCTGATGATGTCAGTGGTCATACAATGTTGACAGAATTTTTCAAAATGAACAAAGAGAATGTGGTTGCCAAGAACCTAAAATTGCTCTATATTGAATTTCCGGAACATTTTGTATGGTCTCCCACACGCAAAATGTGGACTCCAAGGAAAAGGGGAGAGGTAGTGGGCCGATTAGTAAGTGTTAATCCTACCGAAGGAGATCGTTATTACTTGTGATTACTATTGATTAATATTCGAGGTCCTTGTTATTTTGATGACCTAAAAACTGTTGGCAATTTGAAGTATGCAACATTTCGTGAGGCCGCAGAGTCAAGAGGCTTTCTCTCAGGAGATTTTATGGTTCAAGAATGCCTTGAAGAAGCTGTTTTACTTCAGATGCCATCAAGTTTGAGACATCTCTTTGCTACACTTCTCACTTTTAATAATATTGCTAATCCTAGAGAGTTATGGAACTCATATAAATCATATATGTATGAGGATCTTGCACGAGTGCATACACACGACACAATAGACGTAGAATCCGTTGCGCTTCACTACATTGCTGACATTTTGGAAAAAATGGGAAAACAAATTAAAGATTACAATCTTGTTGATTTTGATATATGCGTCCCACATGCAGAGAAAATAAGTCTAGAAGTTTCAGCTGAATACAATTTACAGGTTTCAGGCATGGATGTTCTCTCTATTCAACAGTTGAATCATGAACAAAAACAAGCATATGACGCAGTCATGCACAATGTTTTAACAAGAACCGGCTTAGTTTTCTTTATTGACGGTCCTGGAGGAACTGGAAAAACTTTACTGTACAGATGTCTGTTGGCAACAATTAGATCTCATAAATGGATTGCCCTAGTCACCGCCACGTCTGGAATTACTGCTTCAAACTTGCCTGGGGGACGCACAACTCATTCAAGGTTTAAGTTACCTCTTGATACCGAAAGTAACTATGTTTGCAATATTGGTAAATAAACCGCAGAAGCTCAATTGCTAAAACAGGCTAGGCTGGTCATATGGGATGAGATATCGATGGCTAACCGCAAAATCATTGAAAGTCTAGACATCACCCTGAAAGATCTAATGGACTCACAAGAACTTTTTGGAGGTAATTTAAGACAAATACCATCTGTAATTAAAGGTGGCAAAAGGGAAGATTTCATTGATGCTTCTGTAGTCAGATCTACCGTAATTTGGCCTCATGTGAGACGGTTCACATTGACACAAAATATGAGAGCCCGAGAAGACCCCGCCTTCTCCTCGTATTTGATGAAGATTGGAAATGCCACAGAAGTAAAAGTATATAAAAACAAAGTCACGATTCCATCTTCCTTTCTTGTTTCATCCAGTGATGGAACTTCAGCTCTCTCTTCTTTAATCAAACTTGTGTTTCCGGATTTAAGTTCATTTTTACATGATCCTTATTCACTAATGGGGAGGTGTATAGTCACAACAAAAAATGAGTATGTCCATGACATAAATTCTCTTATTATTTAGGCATTTCCCCATGAAGCAAAAACTTATGTAAGTCATGATGAGCCATTGGATTCTAAACATTCACATTGTCAAGATTATTTGCATACATTAAATCCATCTGGCCCACCTCCTCATACATTGGTGTTGAAGAAAAACTGCCCTATCATTCTGTTGAGGAATTTAAATCCATGCGAAGGTTTATGTAATGGCACACGTTTAGTTTGTGAATCCTTTAGAGATCATGTTATCAGTTGCACAATTGCCGTCGCTGAACACAAGGTAAACATGTGTTTATCCCAAGGATACCTTTAGAAACATCAAAAGATGCAAACTGCCCCTATTCATTTAAAAGAAACCAGTTTCCTATAAGACTATGCTTTGCAATGATGATTAACAAATCACAAGGTCAAACCTTGGATTTCGTAGGGATTTACTTAAAACACTTGTATTCACACATGGACAACTCTATATGGCCATGTCACGTGCAAAAAATGGACATTCCATCAAAATAATTGTGGAGGATGAGTTCAACAAAGACAAGCTCGCCAATTTGACTGACTGTAAAGTATACCCAGAAATACTAGAACACATAACGCCCGCGTAAGAGCCTAAATATGTTCATTCGTTACTTATATTTACATCATTTATTTATCTATCTGTTCATTATTATTATTATACTGATATACATATATGTGCTGCCAATATTCATATCTACTTAAGGATTTCACATTATTTTGGAATGTCAACAAAAGCTACATAATTGCTTCCTCCTTCATGTTAATCTTGGAACATCTCTAGGTCCTATTAATTGTTTTTATTAAAGTAAATTGCCTGACATACTATATGTTTTGTTCTGTGAAATTATGATTACCTAAACCTTTCCCCTACTGTCACTTATGTGATTCATTCTCATTCCTAATATACAAATTTTTTGTTACCATACAGGTTATACTGAATCATGACTAATCAATTGCTAATACCTGATATCACACCGCAAATCAATCAATGGACATGCAAAGTGACCATCACAGAAAAAACAACATGTGTCAATCAACACGAAGCTCAAGAAAATACAAATCTGTAGTCTTGCAAGATGAACAAGTTAGCATAAATCTTTTTCACATACATTTCAAATAAATTCTCTATCAGACACTTGATTATTGCTACATCCTTTTTTTGAATACCCTATTGATCCATGTATACTGGCATGTGATTGTGTAGAGGAACAAGGTCAAGACATTAGTTTATGAAAACGAAATTGAAGCTATTGATGGAAGGCTACAACTCTATTCCACATATCTGGTGTCCAACGCTTGGGTCCAACCCGTTGAAGATTTCTACTCCCTTCCAGATTCAACTTATAACTACATTTGGACACTGAATAGGAGAACTATGATTCAAGACACCAACGAACACAATCCTGTTGACTTCCTGATGCTTGCGGAAAGTGACACCACACCTTTTCACATGTTCTTTGACTTTGCCAAAGACAACAGACGCCTAAGTACTTACGGTTCCATTATTCTACCTACATAGTACAGATTCTTCTTAGACCACGTCTTACCCAACAACTAAAATGTTAACCGTTTCCCAGGTGTGTTGGCCATTGTCATTCGAAAGCTCTCACGTGAATTTATTGTCACCGCAAAAGGACAGCAAAAGGCGAATGAGTTTGTCATTGTCGATGAGGAGTAACCCATTTAAAACCATTAACTACCAAAAAATTAGTTAACAATTTTATGTACAGAAACTACATATGTATTCAACTTTTTATCACAGGGCAAAACCAGTTGTTGTAACACTCTGGGACAGTTTTGCGACTACCTAGGGAATTGAACTTGATAAACTTCTCCGCATGGGTAACTATCCAGTTATTCTCGCCAAATGACTCGGTATAACGACATTTCAAGGTATTAAATCCGCTCAACCAATCTCATACAATAATTCATGCAATAATTTATTTTATCTCCATTAAAACTTCAGATTTTGTCATCATATGGAGCTTGCATTTAACATAACAGGTATCTCTTTGACAACACGGTACGATGCATCAATTAAAATCAATCCAATAGGAACCCGGGATGCCCTCTTAAAAGCACATGACATAATCTCAAATGCTTCTACTTTCCCTTTGGACAATTTGTTGGTTATTAAACAAACTTGGTTAAATTTCATTTTGGACAATACGTTTTTCCATTGATAAGATTACTATAAATTCTGTGCTCTCACACTCAATAAGATAACTCTAAACTTTGTGCTCTCCAGAACGTCATTTTATGGGTCAGAGGGAAGCTAACACTCATTGATAATGGATGGCCAACATATTATGTTGCATGCAACGCACTGTGGCCAACAAAGTGGAATCACATCCAAGAGGTATGCTCAAATATTAGTTATTTATACATAATCATTTCCACCCTCAATACAAAAACTCTAACTTCATATTTTATCTCATTTATAGATTTAGAATACAAGTCCAACTGGAAGACAAGAGTGCAAAACTAGACAACACTTTGTTCAACCACGATGTGGAGAAGCTCTTTCAATATGCAGGCATTCACAAAGACACAGAAATTGAACTACAAGAGCTTGACGATAAATTGGCTACATTTATCTTTGTCGTTGGAGTGAAGTCCATCTCTAAATACCAACAACCCAGGTCATCCACAAGTCACTCTATAGTATGCCTCACCAAAGTCAATTTGCCACCACCTCCAAATGCCACGCTTCCTAAAGACAATGACAAACAAGCAGAAAACACTGAAACTCCAGAAACCAAACCAGGTCATTCTGCCACATCCTCAAAACGACAACTTGAGATACCAAATTCCTTTGAAGAGCCAGTCAATTCTGACCCAAGCATCAGACCAAAGCGTGCCAACATCAATACACCCAACCAAATCCCAATGACAGAAGAAAGTGAAGAAGACGTGCCCCTCATCAAGACAATCCGAGGAATCAAGAAAAAAAAGCCACAAGTAACGAACAATGCACGGACTCCTTTAATGATAACATTTTTTAATATCCAACACATGTAGAAATCATAACTGCATGATCCGCTGCTACGTAAACTACTCTTTTGAAAATCCTTAGGAATTGCTTTACTGGCAACCCTAAGACTCATGTACATATGAATGTCCAAATAAATAAAAGCTAATGTTAAAATGCGAACATCTCAATCCGGGCAAGCATAAAATATACGCGCATAGTGCGTAAAACCTAGTTACTTTATAAGTGTATACAAAACCAAATCAAACAACATTATTGCTATAAGTAGGACTAACTATACTTTAGAATATTAAGAGTGCTATCAATGCTTACTAGTATGATAATTATTTGATTATTGTAAATAATTACCTTTTATTTCAATTTTATATAGTATTGTATTTATATTAATACAATAAATTATAATTGTTGATCAGGCTTTCCCGGTGTTGACTAGGTTGACATGTCGGGTCTGGGGTAACCCGTCATCCGACCATATGTCCAGGTCGCTCTGTGATCTTGTTCTGGTAAATTGACCATTACCACCACTGATACCACAATTATCATTATTATAATGAAAAATGTCACCTATATTACTATTTAGAGCTTTTAATTCCAAAAATATGATTCCTTTTAGCTTTTCTAAAAAAGTGTCTCATCACATTAAATACTCCCTATTTAACATAACATGTAGACAAATTATACCATACACATCGTATATAGATCCCATACGCATGGTATACAGATCCCAAATATGGTACTGTTTTTTATAACACATAGATTTCAATCCTTAAAAAATTTTCTCCTTAAAAAAACCTATTGCGGTGTCATTATTGCTAGCATTATCAATAGTTACAGTGAAGATATATTTCAATCCCCAATCTACCAGGCAAGACTCTAGGGCTTTGGCTAGATACTCTCCTTTGTGGGAAGTCACAGGAACAAAGGAGATTATGTTTTTATTCAGCTTCCACTCATTATCTATAAAATGTGCAGTTATACGCATGTAGTTGATCCTTTGTACAAAGGTCCATGTGTCAGTTGTTATACTGACCCTCTGAGTGTGCTCCCTAATCAACTTTTTCAGATTGACTTTCTCATCTAAATATATTTGGTAGATGTCTTTATCAGTTATCCATCTGGAATGAATTTGGAACCTAGGATAAGCTACAGAGATAAACTTCCTAAACCCTTGTCTGTTTACAAATCTAAATGCAAGCTCATCAATGATATTCATTTCAGCAAGTGTTCTCCTTATTGTGCCCTGATCAAACACCAAGTCCCTAACACCCTAGTATTTTCAAGTGTTGGATTAAACAAGACTAGTTGGAAAGTTAGAAGGGCATGCCTATCATCCTTTGAGCAAGGCATTTTAAGACAGTTGAGTATGTGATTTCTAAGAGAGGAAGTGTCATGCTTCTTGGACTGACAACAGTATGTTTTACCACAATGTATGCATTTTCCTTTGAGAAAAACACCATTACTATCTTTGATCTTAATAAGATGATCCCATATTTTAGATCTGGACTCTACCTCCTTTCTGCTATTTCCAGGAACATTTGTTTGTTGTGTGCTGGTATTAGCCCCAGCATTATCAGCTTCCACCACGGGTTCTTCGGAAATGGGAGTCAGAGGAGGTTGAGAACCAGACATGGGTATGGTATCAATACATTCAACTTCCTTTCTGATAAGTGATAAGTATATATAGTTCAAAAACCTCAATGCAATCAACACATTGAACACAACATCAAACATTCATAATAAAGTCTGGAACAATCAGCAAGCTGATCTACAGAAGGATCAGATATAACCAGTGGGCTTATTCACTTCTCTACAGACTTAGAAGATACCAGTTCACTCTAACTACTCGTTTGAGTGTTTGAGTAGAAAAAAGTAACTTGAACACTTGTCAGAATAAATCAACCATCACCTTTACTCAATAAATTGTATTCAACAATCATCAAAATTCAGAAAATATGTGTATGCAAGCATCATAATTCTGATATGTCTACACATTACAATTTACACATATATAAGAGAAATAGGCAATTTGGAATCAAAATCTTCGAATCACAGGCATCACCAAGGCATCAAAAGTAATTCATTTCAATATCTCAGAATCACACAGGCATCATCGAGGCATCACATATTCAGAGGTCATTTGTATCAAAATCTCAAAATCACATGCATGACCAAGGCATCACAGATTCACAGGTAATTCATATCAGAATATGAGAATCATAGGAATAACCAAGCCGGATCTAGGGTTTCAAGCTTCCACCATACACAAATAAGTGAATCAAAATAACACAGATAATTCATATACAAAAATGATAAGACATCAGATTTAGGGTTCAGGCTTCCACCACAGCACATTTCAAAGCAAATATTACGGATCGAAACATGCATTAAATGGTTTATCCAAGCAGACCAAGCATACAATTTAACGTTTATACCTCGGTAAGATAGTCGAATGGGTTGCAGGCTTCCACAAATCCACAATAGATATCTAGATTCATAAGGGTGAGGCGTTATAAATCGGCTTCCATAGTTCCATCAAGGTAGAGAGGCAGATGGGCAATGGCGGTTCCGTACAGGCTACAGATTTTGGACCATCGGAGTGACAAACAGAGTATCAGAGAAGGCTAAAAGGTTAACTGGTATAGGCAATGATGGATGGACGACAGTGGACTAGTGGAGAGTCAATAGGGATGACTGGTTAGAGATGTCAGAGAGGGAGTTGCAAGTGAAAAGTGAAATGGTAGGGTTAGGGTTGAATAAGTAGCTTATATACTAGGGTAGTTCGATTTTTCGGGCGGGTCATGTAGCCATTTTAAATACCCTACCCGATACCCATTACTCTTAAAACATGGGCTGGGCTTTTCGGTTTGACTACTCGGGTTCGGGTCATCTGACCCGGTCGGCGTAGTGAGGGCATACCAAATCGGGTTTTAAGTGGGTTCAGGTTTTGCTCACCCCTAGACATAGATGAAGGTAGGATTGGGAATTAATGACAATTTGATCAAGATTTTGGGAGACCTTGGTTACCTCGACACATAAGCTCGTGTACTGAGATTGATCTGGTGATGAGTCTCTGTGGTGGCTAGAACGGTAGGGATGTGTGTTGAAACACAGAAATCCCGCGTAACTTTTGCAGATAGGTGCATATGAGAATTATTTTTTGCAAGTTTTCTAATTTTGTTTGTGTCACGCCCCAGACCGCGTCTAAGCGTGTGTACAACCATCGTACAATCAAGTGACGTTACCCGCGAGTCACACCTACTTGATTGTACAATGCGTCCATGGACATCATTCATACCATACTCAGTAAGTAAACATACTGATAGAGTATATCTCTAGAGAGAAGTGAGAGCTAGAGAGAGAAGTAGTATATTTGCCTGATATTAATGAATTCTGAACCCCTACAACTACTTGTAACACCCCCATTTTTCCCGCCCAAAATAATACTTGAAATAATAATATATTGATAACAATCTTGATTTATTCCTTAAAATAGATAGAGTTTTGCAGCTGAAATAACAGTAATGGAAAAAGGGTGTGCTACCGCCACACCCAGCCCTCAACTTGGCTGGATGTTAAGGCTATCCACCATGAGTTCAACCGAATTAAAAACTTAAATTCAAAATTTAACAGCATTATTTAATCTAAGTGAAGACTACACTTAAATCTTCTAAAGCGCTCTCAAGACTCGTCAAACATCATGAGCTTCATATTCATCATTACCTGCACAAATAAAGTGCAGAAAACGAAACAAAGAAAAGGAAACAAAAATTAGCTTTAGAGCTAAGTAAGTACTACCCAACCCCGTAAAATAATCAGGTTAGGCAAAAAATAGATTTTTCATATAATACTATATAAAAATACTCACACCACCGAAATTCTTTTCTAATCGAAAACATCATTTATCAACTTTATAATCTCAAATACCCGTATAATTAAAAAAATAATATTTATAAGCTCCCAACAATTAATTAATATCTCAAAAGAAGTATCACTTTTCAAAAATAACTTTTGTAGCTAAAAATATCACCATTTCGAAATCAATGTCACTTTCAGATTCTTTTAAGATGGGCGAAACTCAAGATTCCTCGAGCCCAATGAATCGTTGTTGCGTACGACTCATCCCGGAATTCCGGCTCCCACCGACCACCAATTGGAAACTGAACTTCACCCTTAAGTGTGCACACCCCCTAAAAGGGATTCCAAGCCCTCCGGGTAGTAAGAAGTCCAAGTAGTTCGGACAACGTCCCCCTACCTCACAATGGGTTAGAAACCCAGGTAATTAGAAACTACTACCGCGGCCACCAAAGAACTTTTAAAGTTCTCAAAAGAAATACCGGGAATCTCCCGGCACCAATATTTACCGGGATTTCTCCCGCAACCAATAATCATCTTAAACCTAAACTAAACCCGCGGTATATAGCTCTAACCACCCACACCTCTTGTTTCTCTCGAGATGCCAATAATTATTATAAAAAAATTATTCATTCTTGGAAAATTTTCTCTATATACAATAATCCAGAATATCTATTTAATAGATACGTCCACCAAAAATTCACATTCATAAATACTCCAAAATTCTTTTATAAAAAATTCACTCCAAAGTCATGCTAGGGATTAAATCCCAAAATATATCTCCAATATTTCACAAATTCTTAGTCACCCCAAATAGTACACATTTAAAATTCACACTTAATCACGTAATGCATAATAAGCATATAATACGAGGAAACAAATTTTGGATTGGCAGAGAAACTTACCTTAAGTCCTGATGCTCCTAGTTATCTTCCTCTAATCCGGTCTCTAGATAATCACCTTTTTAATTAAGATGATATAATTAGTCATTAATTCAATAATTTTAGCCGATTTTCTCCTTTTTATTCTTTTATTCGAATTTATTAATTTAATTAATTAATTATTCGAGTTAATCACTTTTATTAATAAAATACCTTATTAATTTCGTCATTAATTACAATATTTGAATTCTAAACCTAAATAAAATATCCGAATATTATTGACTACAACATCCAATTTTTATTCAATAATCACCATTAATTTTCTCTAATTATTATCTAATTACTTTATTTACATAACCGAATATATTTATTTTCCTTATTTTATTCAAACATTATTTTTAGTCCA